CAAAAATAATAGATGAAACATTAATAGTGGTACCCATTTAAGCACAATTACCACTGTCATTATTAGCTTCCTCATTAGAGAGGGCAATGTTCTGCCTCTGAGTTTGCAGAAGAAGCCTCATAGATTTTCTGAACAAGCCAGTCTAAAGCACAGGAAGGAAATTCTGAATGTATATGCCTTGAACATACCTCATTTTCTCTTTTCACCTGTGGTCCAATTCCCCATACGTAGGAGTCTTACCTTTTAGTGAAAATATTTGAAAATTTTCTTATAAAGGTCCGGGTAGTAAATATTTGAAGCTATAGGGCCATCAGCCCCTCTCACAGCTAAATCACCCTCCCCTTGTAACATTAGAGGAGCCACAGATAATATGTTAATTAATGATTATGGCTGTATTCCAGCAAAACTTTATTCATGGATGAGGACATTTGAATGTCATATAATTTTATGTCTGACAAAATACTATCCTTCATTTGATTTTTTTCAGCCATTCAAAATGTAAAAGTCATTCTTGGCTCATAATTTGGCCAACTGTAAAGTTTTCTAACTTAGCTTGAAGTTGAGAAATCTGGACTCTCCAGCTCAAGAGTAGGTCACCAAAAGGAAAACTAATGTGGTGTCCTGGGAACTAGTTTCTCCATTTGTGAAATAAGTGCTTGGTTTGGGTGCTTGTTGTAAGGTTGAGTGATTTTTTTTAATCTCAAATAACTTGTTCCAGTACTCTATCTGGAGGCCACAACCACCATCTGTTCTCATTTTCCTCCTTCATCTTAACCTCACTATCAAAGGACTAATTAGAAGTAGGGCAAGTACCCCAGTCAGCTCAGGAGCACTGATGACTTATAGATTGCAGTACGGGAGACAATATCTTCATTCCTGTCTCAGCTGAAACAGGAAAGATTTCTTCCTCTGCTTTCTGGAGCACCCATTCTCTTGAGAGCTTCTGAATATTCATTCAACAAACCTACCCATAGAGAACTAATCCCTGGAGAGAATCCACAGAATTCAGAGGCAAATAACATTGCTGAGGGATACAGGACACATTTCTTCCAATGCTCATCTTCATTATTAAGATACTGAAGCAGGAATAAGTTCTCCCAGTGTGCCTCTTTGCTTCTCTATCCCTGCCCTAGCAGGTCTTTCTCCACATTCTCCTTCCTGCCAACACGTACTCTCATGATAAAGACATAATTTGGTAATTCATGTTAAAATAAGAACATTCGCTGAAAATTTGTAGCACTGGAGGAAGCTGAAGGAATTAGGCCTCAATAAGTATGGTAACCAACATTTATTGGTGTTAACTACATACTAAACTCTGTAAGTGGGTATGTGTATGTACACACAGGTGTATTTTGTGTGTTTTTTTCACCCAAAATCCCGATGTTGCAAATGAAGGACTCAAGACTTGAAGAATCTAAGAAACTTGTCCAAGGTCATTATTCAGTAAGTGGCAGAACTGAGATTTAAACCCCAACCTGTGTAATTCCACAGAGCTGCCACTCCACTGTCATATTGTTTCTTGAACTGTAAAATTCAGAGACTCAATAAAAAGAAGAAATGTATTTGGCTGAATAAAAAAAAATAGTGGTACCCATTTAAAAGAATAAGATGAAACGTGCTCAGCTGAGGTGGCTGAGTGCACACTGCTGTCCTCAGTGCTGTTCCCAGGTTACAGATATCAGCATATACAGTTGGTCAAAGTTAACACTTTAAACATTAACTGCTACCTTCAAGAAAGTGATAGAACTTAGTATTACAGTCACCTCTGCTGTCCTGTGCATGTACATGC